TTCTTCGATAGAGGTTTTCGAATGCGACTGGACATCGTGTCACGGTTAGTAAAAGAGGAGTTTGCGGACCAACCGAATCTGGGGCAGGACCTACTACTTATGGCCGTTGGGACATCGGCCTGAAGGAGGAGTATCATGTAACAAGCACGGGTCGAACAACCGGCCGCAGACAAACCCCACGTCAGAAGATCCAGGGTCACTGATAAGATAAGGCTTGCCAAGGCTAGGTCACGTGACAGGATCACCAGGAAACAGTGATCCAGGACCAAGGATCACTATTATGCTTGGATCACCGTGAGCCGTGATCCAACATAAGAGGATCACGATATAACAGTGAGCCATCCAACATGAGCTCACCACCTAACACAACAAGGACAGGATGGCAGGTATATAAGGACGGACATTCTGGACTTGTAGATACATTCCTTCTCACGACAGTGATCAATCTAAGTCTTACCTTGTATTCATTGTAACGAGTGCGCAACGCCTTACGACACCACATCGTCTCAGAGTCACAACCTAAGCTTCTGCAAACAGCAACCCCAACCCTCTGACAGTGTTCCCCCTTCGGAAGCTGCCAGGTCGTAACATTAGTCTACTATTACGAGGTATTATTAAGGGTTTAGGGGTAATTATTTAATATAATTAAACTTATATCTTAGACGATTAATCTATCTAGCTATAGACTACTTACTATCGAAAGTGCTATAATTAATAAAGGTAGGTAGTCCTATTATAGCTAGAGGTCTAGGGGCTATTAACGATATAATCTATCGTTAAAACTAGTTAGGACTTAAACCTTAATAAGGGGAACTTAGACTTTAATAGGAGGGACTTAGACCTTAATAGGAGGGACTTAGATCTCTTAAACCTTAATAACTAAAAGGGGAATTCTAATAAGTAATAGAAGATATTCTAGGGAGCTAAGGAAACGACGCTAGGAAATAGGTTTATAGTAACGGGGCCTCTATAATAGTAGTACTATCGTTACTTAATCCGTGGTCTTATAAATAAAATAACTCTAGACCTCTACTAATAGAATTAAATATACTAGGAGATAATAGACGTATTATTATAGGATAGATAGATAGATTAGGAATAGGAGATCCCCTAGAAAGTCTAGTTAATGCCTAAGAGTTAATAGACTAGGCAGGAGTGAATTAGCCTATTATTAAGGAAGTTAATATCTATAATCCCTAGTTATAATAGGAAGGCCTAGTCGATTATCGGCCCGACTATCCTAATACTCCTACTTCTAAACCTATACTAGATCCGTTTAATAAGATCACCCTAGTAGTTATCTATAACTACTATAATATCGTGGGTATCGCTCTAAGGTAGTTGTTCGGATATATATATAACTAATGACTTAGGCCTATACTACTAGGATCGCCTAATAGGGCCACGGATAGGGATATTAGTATAAAGCCTATAATGAAATCCTATCGATAGGATTCTAGTAGTCTTATATATCGGCTTAGGTCGAATAGTAATAAAGGATATATATCTTTAAAGATATATTAATTATATAGAGATAAGGATATAGTTATTAACCTTTAGTTATCTAGTAGTAGTAGGGGGGTTACTATACGCGTTATAGTGCCTCTTTAATAAGATAGTACTATGACCGGTGAAGGTGTAATTATAAGGGTGAAATAATAGGTAAGTGATTAGGTCGGAATTGATCGGAAGCCCTGCTATAGTCACTAGAAATGGGAATTAATAGGAATTTTCCGAGAAAGCTAGTAGAAATCGTATAAGAAATGGGGGTTTAAAGTTGGTTATTGTATTGGTTAGAGTAGTAGAAGTCGAAAATGGATATCTGGTGAACCTTTAATATTGTATGCCCTCGCCAGACGAATACCCCCACTGCATTGCATTTCCAGTCCCATACTCCCAGGTGGGCGATGCTGCGAGTGAGACATGACAGGTACATGCGCTACATATTGTCAGATTCAGTGGTCGAGGGAATTTGCTTCAAGGACGGCTGGGCAATGAAAGAAAGTGCCTACCCGAAGCTCAGCCAGTCACGGGGGCTCATAAATTCAAAGCCACGATCGTTTTGCAACTGCGGATGGCCCTGGAGTACGAACAAATTGTCCTGAAATATGGCCTCGCCGTTCCATTGTGCCGGCTCGTCAATTGTGCTGGCTCGCCAATTGTGCTCGCTCGTCAGTTGTGCTCGCTCATCAATTGTGCTCGCTCGTCAGTTGTGCTCGCTCGTCAATTGTGCTCGCTCGTCAATTGCTTTGAGCGAGCACCTTGATGACTCACCGACCAGAACGCTGGGTTCACCGAGTCGCCCAGGAGGACGCGATCGGAGGGTGCTCGCCGTGCTAGCGAGTCACCCCACTAGGACCCCGCCAATCACTCAGTGCCCCTCGCTACCCCACCCTCCCCTCTTCGTGCGTTCGACTCTCCTACACGCTCCGATCCAGTGAATTTTTTCTCCCTCGTTCGCCCGCCAGCGTCTCGCCCCTCCTTCTTGGTCTATAAAGCTTCTTCAGGGTTCCTTGAGAACCTTCCTTGACCCAAGTCTTCAAGACCATCTTCCTCCCGACCCCTCTATCCCACTACCACACCTTCACAATGGCTGCCAATGGCTCAACTTACGCTCTCAGCAACTCCCACAAGGAGGTACGTCTACCTGGATCTGAACATGAATGCCAATTCGTCGAGACGCTCCATACTGACTCACCGATAGATGCTCGAGAAGTCTCTTATCGAGACTGACCCCGAGGTCGCCGCCATCATGGTACGAACGACAACCCAGCCCGCCCTCTTCGATATGACACAGCACTGACAGAGCTCCCTCTCTACAGAAGGACGAGATTCAGCGCCAGCGCGAGTCCATCATCCTCATCGCCTCCGAGAACGTCACCTCCCGTGCCGTCTTCGATGCCCTCGGCTCCCCCATGTCCAACAAGTACTCCGAGGGCTACCCTGGTGCCCGCTACTACGGCGGTAACCAGCACATCGACCAGATCGAGAACCTCTGCCAGAAGCGTGCCCTCGAGGCCTTCCACCTCGACTCTGAGAAGTGGGGTGTCAACGTTCAGTGCCTCAGCGGCAGCCCTGCCAACCTCCAGGTCTACCAGGCCATCATGCCCGTCCACGGCCGCCTCATGGGCCTGGATCTCCCCCACGGCGGCCATCTGAGCCACGGCTATCAGACCCCCCAGCGCAAGTAAGTGACACCCAAGTTTTCTGCTGCCTTCAGGCCAGAGCAGTCAGCTAACCCGGCGTTAGGATCTCTGCCATCTCTACCTACTTCGAGACCATGCCCTACCGCGTCGACCTCGAGACCGGCATCATCGACTACGACACCCTTGAGAAGAACGCCATCCTGTTCCGCCCCAAGGTCCTTGTTGCCGGTACCTCCGCCTACTGCCGCCTCATCGACTACGGCCGCATGCGTAAGATTGCCGACTCTGTCGGTGCTTACCTCGTCGTCGACATGGCCCACATCTCTGGTCTCATCGCCGCCGGCGTCATCCCCTCCCCCTTCGAGCACGCCGACATTGTCACGACCACGACCCACAAGTCCCTCCGTGGCCCCCGCGGCGCCATGATCTTCTTCCGCAAGGGAGTCCGCTCCGTCGACGCCAAGGGCAAGGAGACGCTCTACGACCTCGAGAACCCCATCAACTTCTCCGTCTTCCCCGGCCACCAGGGCGGCCCCCACAACCACACCATCACAGCCCTGACCGTCGCCCTGAAGCAGGCCGCGTCGCCCGACTTCAAGGCCTACCAGCAGAAGGTCGTCGACAACGCCAAGGCTCTCGAGTCCAAGTTCAAGGCTCTCGGCCACAAGCTCGTCGCCGACGGCACCGACTCGCACATGGTCCTCCTCGACCTCCGCCAGTTCAGCCTCGACGGCGCCCGCGTCGAGGCCGTTCTCGAGCAGATCAACATTGCCTGCAACAAGAACGCCATCCCCGGCGACAAGTCGGCCCTCACCCCCTGCGGCATCCGCATCGGCACCCCTGCCATGACCTCGCGCGGCTTCGGCGAGGCCGACTTTGAGCGCGTCGCCACCTATATTGACGAGGCCATCAAGATCTGCAAGGACGTCCAGGGCGCCCTGCCCAAGGAGGCCAACAAGCTCAAGGACTTCCGCGCCAAGGTCGCCGGCGGCGAGGTCGCCAAGATCAACGACCTCCGCCAGGAGATCGCCGCCTGGTGCCAGGGCTTCCCCCTGCCCATCGAGGGCTGGCGCATGGACGCCGGCCTCTAAATCCGGGGCGCGGCCAAGCACTTTTTCTTTTTTTAAAAAAAAGCAACAACGGGAATGGAGATGATGTAGGAGGGGCGAAGAGAGGCAGGAAATTTGATACCAGGATATGCGTCCCCTATTTCTACGAGAGGAGCATACTTCAACACCGGTGGTCGGCATCGGGGGGGAAGAAACACACCCCGTCCGACGGAAGACATTTTAACATGAGTCACGAATCGGCTGGAGGGGGAAAAATGGGGAAGAGAAAGTTGCATGCATATTTTTATCGGGCGTTGCAGACTTTCTGCTTTTTCCCCCCCATGGCGGGTTCAAAACGGTGGGCTGCGGCTGGGAGTTAACAGGGGCGTTGATCAACTGGAGCACTTTAGCTAGATGGAGGGGCTGCTTCAACCGCGGCCCTGTTTCTTAACAAGAATTGTATTCATCCACTTGTGGCACCGTCTCGCGTTGCTGGCGACAAGGTGAATATGTATTGTTTGCTGTCTGAGAGGCGGTACACATTGCTCCTGCTCGGGAGACTTGCCGCGAAGCTTGTTCCCTCTGCATCCTTCCATCCTTCGTTTGATTCTACAGGTCTGTCAACCCCGCTCACGCCGATGGCTTGGACTTGATCCTCAAGCTCGTGCAATGCGTGTCTCCTGCAGCAATATCACCAACGCCAGACAATGGGGCGCATCTGTCGGAGTAGAAACTGCAACAAAGTGCTAACATCATTCTACCACTTTAATTGTACAAGTCGCAAACACGAACGCCACAACACTCATCAGACCATGGAAAGAAGGCTATGAGCCAAGTCACCCGCGACCTTTCGTTTCCCGGCTAGCATTGCCCCGTCTAACGCTGCCTTGACTTCGCGTTGAGTTTGGACCACGAGTGTCGAATCCGGCTGAATCGAGGCAACGACCCGAACTGGGGATATCGCAAGTGTTGTGGTCGCGGGAGATGCACCCCTCGCTTTCCTCTCCTGATCTTTGAGAACCTCCATGATAGTGGCGTGCCGGAACCCTCCGGCGCCAGGCTGACCTCTGAAGATTGTTGAAGCTACCTGGAGGTTCAGGAAATCGTTGAGGGAAAACTGTGGTTGTGAAGCACCGGCGATGGTTTCGACAGTGGGGTTCCGGATATCTCTGGAACTGCCTTTGTTGGCGCTTGAGGTGATGGTCTGGGCTTTGACAGGGACTGTCGTTGCGTTGGTGACGCATGGAAGTCTGCGAGCCTCTGCGCCTTGAGGGGATGTATCGTCATTCCTGGGACTATATTCAACGTGTTCTGCATCTGCATGGTTTGCAATTTGAGACGGTCTGTAATGACCAATATTCTCAAATGGCGTAAAAGACATCAAGTCATACCCCTCGGTCAGTGGAGCTGATGCAGCACGCTCATTTGTCTTGACGACTTGAGAAAGTCGAGGTGTTGGGCTGCTTGCTGTAGGCAGTGGGCGCTTCAGGTTGCCAACGAAGGCGTGTGTACCGCCGGGGTTATTGTTGGTGATCCTGGCATTCAGAGGCAGAAGGTCGGAGCGTAGACCAAAACGTTCGGTTGAGAGCGAGATGTGGTTTTGGGGATACTCGGTATCACTTATCTGGAATCCCCTTCTTACGAGTGCCGCCCTGAGATCAAGCCATATAGTCAGGGCAGGTTGTGTGAGGAGGTGTGCCTGCCATTTTTCATGGTGCGCATTATTTGGGAGTTTAGGGAACCGATCCAACCATTCTTTGACGATCCGAAAGTAACTGACGACACCTTCGTTCCCTTTTGAAAAAACAGACGGCAGAGCTTTTCGGATGAGATCACGTCGTTCCTTCGGCCGTGGGAACTTGTGCCAAGGCAGAAAGCTCTCGTCTCGAAGTGCCAATAGAATTTGTACGGCGGCTTCGCGGGCTTCAGCATACTTCTCATTCTCTACCTCAGCAACGTCAAGAGAGCTTGAGCAAGAGGTGATCTCGGCGGTTAACAACCAGAATAATTTGTGCTGGGGCCAGGCACCAGGCTCTTGAGGCGGAGGCGAAGTTTGTGTCATGACGGGTTCGACGTTGAGCACGAGTGGGTTGATGCTGTGGAATGACAGGTGAGGCACCTTGGTAGATAAGGTAACAAGAGGGCTCTAATTGATGGAGGTTCTATTTGTACTTTTCTAGGAACAAGAATCGTACGGGAGAAACTGTGAAAGGAATTTAGGTACATGGAAAGCTTTGAATAGAAGCCTCCCGGTTGGACGGGAAAGGAGCACGATATTCTGGAAGACACAAGCACGCACTTCCCTCCACTACTCTGCCCATGCTTTCACTCGAATATTATCCAGCGCCTCTAAAATTCCCCTACCTTCCATGGACACTATCGTGCCCCTATCGCGCTCCACCACCTGAGGGGACAAGTGTGTGGAACCCGAGAGCCACAGACACCATGGTACTGGTACGTGACAACGTGCATCACTTGCCAAACGTGCGGCCGAAGAGCGTAGCCGTCTTGAAATTTGGGGAACTCGGGGGTATAGACAACCGAGCCAATCGACCCGTGCATGATAAATAGACAAAGATATGTTTAGATTATCGTGGACTCACTCTGTAGGTGGGCATGGCATCACCGAGGCCGATTCCACTATCGTTTCGGACACATGGACATCTGGCTAGTCCCCTGTGTTCGATGACAGACTGTCTCTGTTTAGACAACGGAAACCACTTCAAGAACCATCTCATGGGCGACAGACAGAGCACCACGGCACCAGAGGTGCCTTTGGTGTAGGAGCGCAGCCTGATTGCATTGCCATGGCACAAACAGGCACTTTCTCGTCACATGGACAATTAAGTACTTTTGAGACAGATTCTTTCAGCGACGTCGATCCATCTCATTGAAAACTATAGGTATGGGTACCATAATCAAACACTGTATCCTGATCTTCTCTAGCACAGAGGAGAACATACCGCCGTGACTTGTTCGAAACACAGCAGCAAAGTCTCACTTGCCCCTCCGCCAAACCCCCTACTCCTGCACCCCCTGAACACACTGCCACATCATCTCCAAAATCTCCCTCTTGAGCTCCGCCCTCTGCTCCTCCGTCATCCCGTCCTGACAAGCACCACTCTCGCCCCCTCCCCCAGAAATCTCCTCACCTCCATCCATCCACGGATCCCGCAGCAGCAGCAGCTCCCGTTCGCAGTGATCCCCCAGTCCAAGCTGCCGCGGCCGCCCCTCCCCCGCGCCGCACCCACCACCCTCGCCCGGCCACCGATACAAAACAACCACCGGCTGCGGTGGATCCAGCTCCATCTCAACAGCATACCGCCTCGCCAGCGGCATCGTCACCCGCCGCAGCACCGTCGACGGGACGTACGCCGTCCTCCGCGGCAGCAGGCTCCTCGGAAACGAAGGAATCGATGTGCGATGCGGGGCCGTGCCCCGGATCCGCGAACCGGGGAGAGCGACGGGGCTGCCGCTGAGCTTGCGTCGCTTCTTGGTCTGGCGGACCGGGTCGGGAGGGGCGTGCTTGCGCTTTTGTGGCGTTGTCGGTTGGATCGTCAGGGCTGCTAGGGCCTGTGTGAGGTCTTCGATCTCGGTTGGGGTCGTGAGAGCCGGACTGTGCTGGAATATCTGGCTGCGATGACGGATGGGGGGTGGGATCGCCGGACGTGGCTTCAAGCCGGATGCTGAAACGAAAGAAATCGGGGCGGGGGAAGGGGCCGGATTGGCATGTTGATGGTGGGTTATGGTCTGCCCGAGTGCCCAGACCTGCTTGCTTTGCCTTTGCCCCATGGTCGTGATGATGGAAGTGGTGGGATTGGTGATCATGCAAGATGGGACTTGAAAGGGGGTAAAAGAAATGACTGATCGATGAGGCGTAGATTCAGGCGTGAGCGCAGCGTAGAGATGAGAAAAGTTGAAGAGCAGACAACGACTCGAGAAATAAATCCCCAGACCGGTTCCACGATGTAGATGGTTGTACAATAGGGCGAATGGCGTCCATCGTGGCCCACTGAATAGGGGCTGGGATGAATAGGAGGTCAATCAAGAGAGCGGCCATTGTTCGTCGCCGTGCCTTCCTACCAACACAATACTGAGAACAACGACATGCACTCAAGCAAAACCTGGAGTAAACCACTGCATCATCGCGGCCTGGCGGGTGTCAACTTTGATTCTTTACTGGAACATAACGAGCTACGCGCGCCGGCGACCGCCTCAACTCTATCTCGTCTCACGTCCCAACGCTCACCCATTCCATGCCGTCCGTCATCCACAGCACCGTTTCTCGGCATCGAGAAGCCCTGCTCACGCTGCCTCGAAGAAACGTCCGCTGCCACGGGAGCCGAGCACCCCCGGAGATGACGACGACAACCTGCAACCCCTGCCTTGGTCTCCTGAAAGAAGCCAATCCAATATTCATCCCGCGCTGCCGCCGATCGTCCCATGAACGGGGTCGACTCGACCCTCGACGTTGCAGCTCAAACTGGAGGACAAAAAGAAAAAAAGAAGAAAGCATTTCTAGCATAGTCCAAGGTGACTCGCCCAAGTGCTGACCTCCCCGTGACACGAAGGACAGGGAAGCCCGATATCGTAACGAACAAAACCCCCCAGACACTGACCCGCAGCCCCAATTTCTTAATCCATCGTCAAAACAGCTGCGTTCGGGTATCCCAATGCCTGAGTGAATCCGACCTGTCCATGATATTATGGCGTCGCTCTTTCGTTTTTTGGCCTTGAAGGCAATACGTCCCCCAACGCCGAATTGTATGAGTTTTTGTGCGTCCATTGCCGTATAAAACAGAATCTGCCGGAGCAGCTAAGAAAAAATAAGACCGGCAAGTATTGCGCGAAGCTGCAAGAGCTTTCGATTCGAAAAGGAAAGTCGCAAAAGTAAAAGTGTGTTGGTTGGTACAGCGGAAGACGCGTAGTTGTGTATCGTTTTCGTGTAAGGCGGGTGCCGAATATCTTATCGTTCCGCACTCTCGGAAGCGCCGTCCCTCTCTTCCGCTTGGCTGCCGTTGCCCTGGCTCTGCATGCTGTCGATCCGCTCAATGCTGGGCGCGAGCACTGGTGCGGGAATGGCCGTGCCATTCGTGATGGGCATGTTCTTGTTCTTCTTGGCCGGAGTCGTGTTGACTCCCTTTTCGGGCGAAGCTTGAACGCCCTTGCCGTCGGTAACCTGTGCCTGACCAGACTCGAGCTTCTTCTTCTTCTTGGCCAGAGCGATCTGTTCCTTGGGCGGCCTCTTTTGTGGTGAGACAATCTTGCCCGTGGCACCCAGGCGGGGCCTCGGCCTCCTCTGCTTGACGGGCAAGTCCTCATCTTCGACCAAAGGTGCATCGCCGTTCGCGTGTAGCTTAGCCAGGAAGAAGTTCTTGATGAGGCCAATCTGGCCGTTGATGTTCTCCTTCGAAACCGGTTCAGGAGGCGGCAGCGAATCGAACAGTTCGACAGCCGAAGGACCTCCGACGGCTTGTGTCTGCATCTGGTATTGGTTGCGAACGCGGGTCTGCAGGAGATGCAGGGGAACCGAAAGCATATCGAGTCCGAGTTCCTGATCCAGGCCAAGAGACTTGAAGCCGAAGAAGTCCTCACCAAGATCCTCGGCAAAGTCTCCGCTGACGAATTGCTCGCTGCCGTCGTTGAAAGCGCCCACGCCATCTTGGCCGGCCTCTTGGCTGAGCGCCGGACGCAGCAGGTCCGTCAAGTGAATCTTCATCCTCTCGTGGATACTGTCAAGCTTCGTCGTCAACCTATCGACTTCGTCCTTGGCGTATGCCTCGAGACTGGCAATGTCGCAACCGTTCTCGTCAAGTGTGTGCAGAATCACTTCCTCGGGAGTGAACCGAGATTGGAACCTGGCACCGTTGGGTGCATTAGGAGGTGCCTCCTTTTTCTCTGCCTCCCGATACACGTTGAAGGTGTGAATGAGCTTCTGAAAGTAATCGGCACCGATGCTGGTGAGGGCATCGATCGCAGAAGGCTGGAGTTCCTCGAAACCGCTCGTGTACAGGATCTTGGCGACGGAACGCTGGAAGGCCTTCTGACATGTCTGGGGAGCGATAATGGGACCGTTGTCGGCCATGAAAGTGGGCTCGATGTCCTGCTCCACAAAGGAGTCAAAGTTGACCTTGGGAAACTGGTTGGTGTAGACCTGAAAAGAAATCAGTACTGGTTGATAGAACAGGCCAAGAGAAACCTTACCTGCGTCTGGATTTGCATCTGCTTGATCACACCAATCTTGCTGGCCAGCTTCCTCGTTTCCTGGATCTGTCGGATGTTGGTGTCGATTTTGCTCGCAAACTTGCCCTTGGGGGCCAAGAAGTGCCCAGCGGGCACCATGCGCAGGAACTCCTCGTGCTGGTTGATGACCTGGCCCTCGCCATCCTCGATCCATTGAAGCTTGGGGTTGACATCTGGAATCGTGGTCAGAGGCTCGTAGTAGTCGGGGACGACGCGCTCCTCCTCGCCTTCCATGCCTTCGGCGAGAGTCTCGGCAGGGTTCGATGCGTCCTTGGCGGCAACGATTGACGAGTCTGCCTGGGAGTGGCTGATGATGCCGTGAGCCTCTGCTTCCTTCTGCCCGCGCAGGAAGCGGCGGATGCCGGCCTTGGTGCGCAACAGAGCAGGCGCATCCGTGTTGAGCTTGTTGTCCTTGAAAAGGACATGGCGCTCCTTGGCAATGAGGGCGCGATCCTTCTTCGTGACCTGCTTCCAGATCTTGTACTCCTCGTCTTCATGGTCTTGCTCGCCAGCCTCGTTCAGGGCGTGCCCGAGGACCATTCCGTTCAGCGAGGGGCCATCTATATCCATGGCATCGGCATTGCTCGCGACGCCCGATGGAGCATTGGCGGCACTGGGCGTGATGGAGCCAGCGCCGATGGGAGGCGTGCCGAACCCATTGCTGCTGTCAACGGCCTCCGAATCCTCGCGTTGCTTCGCAAGCAGTCCGTTGAGATGAATCGCAGGCTTCTGGTCAGTCATTGGTGTGTCCTCCTTTTGGTCAGGCGGGTGCTTTCGAGACTTGGCGGCTCCTTTGGTGCCGGCAGTGCGGCCGCGAGACGACATTATTGGCTCGTCGTCCGAGTCGTCGCCGCCTTCTTCTTCACCACCATTCTGTTTGCGCCGCTCTTCGGCCTCGACTTCGGCGCGAGGGCGCACGGTAAGGTCGGGGATCAGAGGGATGAGCTTCTCGGCTTCCTTGCGCATGCCATTGGCCATGCGGCGAAGGGGGTGGTTCATGTCCTGGTTGTATCGCAAGCAGTTGTCCCAAATCAGGTTGAGGTCTTGGACAAAGTCCGTCTTGGACTTATAGGTGAGCGACTTGATCTTCTTGGTCATAGTGCCCAGATCCATGGGTTGCTTGATGACTGTGGGCATTCATGTCAGACGAGTTGGCGCACGCAGCCGAGGATGGTTGAAACTCACGGTTGTAATAATCCGGCACATCTCTCTTGTTCACCCTTTGCAGGAAGGGCGTCGAGTACTCTGTGTGCGCCTTGAGTTCGGTGAGGACCTTGTCGAGGGCCTCGTACAACTCCTCCTGATTGACGTTCTCTTCGCTGGCCCATTTGCTCCGGTTCTTTCGCACCTCGTTCATGAGGGACCGCAGTTCGGCATCCGACGCGCGCACCTGGTCACGCTTCATGTCTATCCTCGCGATGAGGTGCTTCAAGGTCAAGCTCGACGCGCCGAGGTTGGCGCTACTCAAGGAGCCGTGGTTCTCGGCCTGGCCGCCGGCCGCGTTACCCTGGCTTGTATTGTTATCCATTTCAGCCTGCAGCTGCTTCTCCGACTCTTCGAGCTGCTGCTGCTCCAGCATGGCGGTGCGATCATTCTCGAGCGTGTAGAAGACTGTGTGGAAGCTGCGGCGCGCCGCCTCTTCGGTTGCGTTTCGCGACTCTTCCAGCTGTTTGCGCGCATCCTCGCTCGTTTTGGCCATGTCGTGTGCTGTGTCGGTCTGTTTCGTCTTGTCGCTCGTCTTGTCGGGAGAGCCAAAGGAGCGAACGGGGGAGCTGCCCGACTTGGAGGGGCTCGGAAGCATCGCATTGGCATCCTTGGGTTTGGACGCGTCGCCATTTTCCTTTGGGTCTTCGTCGTCTTCATCTTCGTCGTCATCGTCATCACCGTAGTCATCTTCGTCGATGACTCGCTTGGCCTTCTTGCGCGGTGGCTCCTGCGCCGCGGTCTGAGGCGCGTCCTCAGCCGATTCAAGGAGCAAGGGGGCAGGCGCGGGAGCCGTCTGCTTCAGCGCATTGATGGCATCGTGATTGTAGGAGCCATCATCGCCGAAGAGCAATGCGATTCTGGATTCGCTCTCGCGAAAGAGATCCCTGAACTGGGATCGCCGTCGCTCATCCTCGGCGTCGGGTGGTGCCTCAGGCATCAATGACATGGAATTGTCGAGAGGCGTGCCGTTGCGCGCAGAGGAGGCATCATCAAAAGACTGATGAAGCTTACTGCTGGGAGCGTAATGGCCGTTGGGGGGTTGCCACGCGTGATGGCCGTTGGGGAGGGACATGATGCGGCCTCGTCGATGGCAGCGACAAGCGGAGGGGCCTGTCGCCGGGCGCCAGAAAGGGCGCTCGAATTATGCCGGACTCGGGCGGATTGGGGGGGCTATGATTGCATCGGAGGATGGCGCGACATCGATAGAGATGGCTTCCCAAGTCGGAGGGCGTGGATGATGGAGGTGGTGATGCTGCGATGGTTCGTGATAGGGGTGTTTTCGCTTGCTCGCAAGAGGTGAGGTTGAGTCTTTGGCGAGGCTTGTACCGGAGTGGATTGCCAGGCGCGGTGCCCTGGCACCTCGACGCTTTGGTACTGACACGGGTGTGGAGGCTGTAGAGGTACAAGGGCGACCGGCATGAGGCGACCACGTTCAGTCCGATGCAAGGTCATAAGTGTTCCATATTCACTGATTTAATATCAATGCATCCATATTCTATTTATGAGAACCTCCTCATCGCCAACAGCCGATTGCACAGGACAAGGCAAGACCCAGGTTCCGTGAGCCTTGTACCGGAACCTTGGGTCCCAAGCCAGACGTGGAGGAACGCGAGCACCAGCGATCAGGCGCGATGGCCCCACCCCAGTCACGTGATACCCAAGTCGCATCATCAGAGGGAAAGGGGGATACCTGAGGATATGGAGTGCGGCAGGCATGTCTCGGGAGAAGGCGATGAGAGTTCACTCAAAGCTGTCGGAGCGCCAGTCAGCCGTCTCCATTCAGATCAATTGGGGGCAGCGCTTTGAAGACCTGCATATCGTGCCTAGACGACATCGACTTTGATCAGGATCCCCAGACTGTCCCGCATATTAATCATCGACCGCTCCACGTCCCAGAGTCCCGCGCATCTGTCCCACCAAGACCCCGCCAGCCAATCCCACGCACCTCAAGCACCACGTACCACACGCACCACAGCCGCCCCCCCTGTTCCCAGGCCCGCCGCATCTGAGAGCTGCGCCGTCTGTCTTCTGTCGTCACTGCTCCGTGGCCTGCCGCGCCCGAGGCTTGGGGCCACAGCTCACCTTTGCAGAAAGCTCCAACCAGCTCGACAAGCCGTCTCCTCCAGGCTTCCACGCCAAACGAACCTAGCCACGTCAACGACAGACCCCACGGAACATTTCGACGAGAACAGCTGCAGTGCTGACGTACAATCGCTGCTTCATCGTTTCAGTCTGTCTATTCTTCGACAGGTCTTGACAGAACCCAGAGCAAATCACTCCACACTCGCCCACCATGAGGATACGACTTCCCTTTGCCGGTTCGCCAGCCCCGCCCGTTTTCCGTCTCAAGAGAGCATCTTGTTTCGGTTCTCCAGAAAGAGCACGTGGCTAACGAGAGGAAAAAACCAGGAACCTTCTTCGCCCTCCTCCTGGCAGCCGCCTACATGGGCCTAACGCCGCTGCACCTCGAGACCTACATCAACGACAAGGCCCTCCACCTCGTCACCTTTTTTCCTCCTTGACGACCGTCTTCTACTGGATCCTCGACACGAGGGCGCCGCCGCCACCCTCCACCTCAAGCTCCTCGCACGGCCGTCCTCGCCGTCGGCTCCGAGCTGCTGCAGGCGCTGCTGCCCAACGGCCGCGTCTTCGACCTGCTCGACATCGCCGCCAACGTCGCCGGCTCGCTCGCCCGGCCTCGGCCTGTGCACGTGGTACCACAAGCGCATGATCGAGCGGCGGCGCGCGCAGCGGGGGCTACGGCGCCCTCGCCGGCGAGGACGACGGCGAGGATCTCGAGATGGGCGTCGGCGGGCTGCAGGAGGACGGCGTCGTTGACGCTGCCGGGGCGCGCTCGCTCGAGGACGAGGTCGACAATTGGGATGAGAACGCCGTCGACGAGTGGGATGAGGACCTGGGCCGGGAGGACGTCGCGGTGGGCAGGGGGAAGGAGGCCGCTGCTGCCGGTGATTTGGGCGACATTGGCGACTCGAAGAAGCGCAGCGATTGAGTCGAGGCATGAGACGCTGTGACGGATGACGAGCCTCAAAACGTCGGGACGAACGAATGACTAGAAGCAGAAACGTGTGCTATTTTACGCAGCGGACGGGGCGTTGGACCATGAGAGATACGGCGATATGAGCTAGGCAGCATACCACTCACTATGTGCTCAAGTCAAATGCCGTTTCAACATGTTTTCTTGGGATCGAAATCCTTTTAGTTGCTAAATGATGGGAGATAGTACCCGTATGAACAGCACATCTTTGCGTCAAACTTTTGTGTTTCCTATCCACGAGAAATCCACACTCCATCTTCCTACACAACCCACTCACCATCCAAAACTCTCATCGTGGAAAAACACATCCCGGCCCCGGTACACCCACGCGCCTACATGCCTCCTCACCTCTCTCGCCATGCTTGCCGGCCCGCACACGAGCACAGCAACCCTCTCGTCGGGCCCGCCGCGAAACGTGTCGTCGATAATCCTGCGCAAGTCCGGCCTCCGACGGCTATGGCTGCTCGTCCACCGTCCGCCGCCGCCGCCGCCGCCGGCGCGCCTCCTGTCGCGGTACAAGCTGCTCAGCTCTTCGCCGGCGTCACCAGAGGCGCCGCCGCCCGCATCTGACGACGACGCGAAGCTCGCGCGCCGCGGCTCCGACACGCCGACAGCCGTGCCAACGCCCAGGTCGCCCGTCAGGAAAATGTTGACATTCTCGTCCTCGAGCACACTGTCGCCACGGCCCGTAACGGCCCACGTCGCGTCGCCGGCGGCGCGAATTGCCCAGACGAGCTCGACCTTGGCGGCGGGGTGATCGGCGAGCACGGCGCGGTAGAGCGGCACGGCAAAGGTGGCGCCGACGCCGCCGGCGATCAGCAGCACGCGGTCTGTGCGGGGCGAGGCAATCTGGGCAAAGTGTCTCGACGCGGTGCCGTAGGGGCCCTCGATGGAGAGGGGCACTGTGGCGGCGGCGGCGGGGAAGACGGTCGTCGTTGTCGATGATGGCATGGCCATGCCGCCGTGCTGGGCGAATTGGGCGAGGCGGCGGGTCAGGGGCCCGTCGTGCTGGCGGGCGACGAGGGTCAGGGCGCCCGTATGGTCATCAACGTCGGCGACGGTGAAGGGGTTAAAGAGGAATTCGTAGAGGAGGGCGTCATTGGAGGCGATTGGACGGGCGGCGGCGGGAATGGAGAGGTATATGTGCGCTCCTGGCTTGGCACGGAAGGCGTTTACCTTGGGGCCGGGGATCGAGGCCATGATCTTGACGAGGGTCGTGCCGGGGATGGTTTCGAGCGTGGCTTGGGAGGTTGTCGTACGAAGGCGGCGCATGGCGATGTCGGCAAGGAAGAGCACGAGTGCCGTGCCGACTGACAGACGAGCGGAGGGGGCGTGGATGAAGATGAGAGGCGGGATGGCCATGGCAACGACGAGATGGGTGATGAAGAACACGCGGTACGACCAGGCCCGCACGGCGCGCAGGGCCGTCGTGTTGAGGAGGTTGAGACCAGCGAAAGCCACGACGCCGGCGAAGACGACGGGCGCAAAGAGACGTCGCTGCAGGATGCCGACCTGAGCAAAGTAGTTGAGGTAGCAGGCGGCATGGAGAATGAGCAGGGCCGTGATGACTCGTGCGAGGACTCGGTGCCAGCGGTTGAGGGTCTCGTGAGACGTGTTGAAGACCCAGGCCAGGGGGCTGAAGGACTTGAGAATGAGCAGATACTGGAAGGGCATGAGGGCCGTTGCAATGGTGCCCAGGCGTTTGGTGAAGTGCAGGTAGTCTGGCGCCCTGTCAGCTGGGGCATCCCGTCTCGAAAAGGAGCATGCATGTGTGCATGAAGCTTCACGTACCTTCGCCAGTACCTGCGATGCACAACACCAGCATCCAGATCATCGACGCCATACCCACCATCCATTGGTCTCTCGTACCCCAGGACTGGCCGTTGATGATGACCTCGTCTCTCGACCACCACTGGACGATTCGAACCTTCGCCAGCCAGCGGCCAACAACAGTGCCCTTCCGGCACTTGTACAATGGCGAGTCAGGCACGACATCGTAGGCGCCGCGAGTGACCTCTCGACCGCGTGTGTACCGTTCCACGATTCGCTGGGTCAAGGAAATGAAGATGGGCAGCAAGGCCGAGATCTGGGCGTAGATGGCATAGCGGTCCAATGCCTGGCGGCGAAGCTGGACCTCCTCTGGTGAGAGGGTGAGGAAACGGTAGGGCCAAGCCATGTTCGGAAAGGCTGTAGCTACCATCGGTACCTCCCTACCTACCTCCTACCTTACCTAGGAGGTAAAGTAACCAAGGTGCCTTAAAGAGGTAGGTACGGCGATTCCAAGAGTACCTAGGTACCCAAGGCAAGATGCGGAAAGAGGGGCCACGGGCGATCAGCAGCGCTATCAGCAACGCATCGAAATGGTCACAGGAAAAAAAAAGAAGAGGGAAGGAAAGACAGAGAGAGAGTCTTCGGGGAAGCAGCGAGGGAGGTATGGGGGGGGGGGGACTTTAGAGCGCAGCAGAGAAGCATGGAATCGATAGTACCAAGAACACGCAAGCACGAACGGGTCTCGATACGACCAAACCTCGAGCTCTGTCCTCTTGGGGATAATGAAGGGCCCTTCAAGTGCTGTCTTGTGCACAAAGCGCGCCTACCATGTACTCAGGAGCCCCTGTAGGCAAATGTGCCTTTCCTCTTGGGGCGTGGCTCCCCTTCGGGCATGGCTACCCGGGGCGTGGCTCCCCTGTGGCATTGGCATGGACCCCTGGGACCCCGATGAGCAACCTGGCCTTGGTGATTGGCCCTCAACCTCTTTCCTGCCCCACCCCCACCTGAACCGCGGAACCTCTTCAACGGGATACCTCGAGGGTCATCACGACACGAGCAGCTCACCGTCGGCTCCTGAATGTGGCATCTCCAGCTTCATCAACAGTAGGAGCGGCTAAACTCCGTCACATGGCGTAGCAATCAGCAAACAACTTGATCGTGATCAAAGCTTCTGAAACGGCTGCTGGGCTCCCAGACTTCTGAACCACTGCATCTCCGTCGTCGATCTCGCCTCCCTCTCTCACTTGCTTCATGATGACTTGCCCATAGTCACCCCGTAGAGCACTCATCCCAATATGAACAAACGCCTTCTCGCAGCTGCCTATTGTACACACATAGTCTTCAACACGAGCACCCTGCCCCCTCACTGCCGGAATTTGGCCAGTTGCGCCATGATCGTATTGACTTGTGACGCCGAATCCGGAGACGCTGGCGGCTGCGGCCGACCGCCAGGCCCGCTCGGTGCGTTGAGACCACCTGGACCGTGGGGAGGGTAGCCTCCGCCACCGTAAGCCGGAGCCCGACCTTCTGCTGGTGTCACGGCCACGCCACCCCTGAGGTTATTGAGCACGGCCTGCACATCGACTGGTCCATTCACCTGCTGTGGCATGCCTCCGTGAACTGCCGTGCCGGGCCCCGCTCCTTGTTGGTTCTGCACAGCGGCAACAAGTTGCTGCAGCGTCGCGCCGTCAAGGTGCCCAAGGGACGCCAGGAGCTCGGCAGGGAATCCGCCAGCTGCCGCCGCAGCGCTCGGCGCAGGACCAGGAGGCACCTGGTGATGGCTTGGTTGGCTGGGATATGCGTGGGCTGGTGGTTGCTGTTGCTGCTGCGGCGGGTACTGCTGGCCGTAGCCTCCGCCTCCATATGCCTGCGCCGGTGCTGGCGCGTGGTACGCAGTAGCAGGCGCTGCGTGTGTTTTGGCCCGTACCACCAGCTCGGCGGCCACGTGGGGTTCGAGCTCCTGGTACTCGTCAAATCGTGTGCTGCCACTGGACGAACGATCAAAGACGCGCAAACTGAATCTGCCAGTCGTATTGGCTCGTATGTCAAGGTCCACCACGGCGTGAACGCCCTCCACAACTTGTCTCTGGATCACGGCGTCCCGCGGCATGCTGGGATGGAGAAACATGACGTCAATCTTGAGCCCACGGTCCAAAAAGGCCCGCGACGCCCAGTCAACAAACTCCGGATTCACTTCTTGCAGCAGCAAGAACTGAACGTCAGGAATCTGGCTGCCGTGTCGTCGAGGCAGTGGGAGCCGGTCGTCGTGCGAATAGTCGTGACCGCGGCTGCGGTGGTTAGCCGGACTCGGGCTGCGGCGACGGTACGAGTCGTGGTGTCGTGCATGGCTTGGTGGTGTACGAGAACGGCCGCGCGGTGGGTATTGCGGTTCCTGGTAGCCACGGTCACGGCCGTAGCCATCATCTCTGCCCGCACGCGGTGAGGCAGGGCGGCCTTGGCGGCGGTCGTCACGCCCTCGCCGGTCGTTTGAGCCGTTGGCACCCCTCTGACCCGAGTCTCGTCCTGAGTCTCGCCCTCCACCACGGCCTCCCCTGTCGGGCGAGCGATTTCGGTCCTCGCCCTTTTTCTTCTGTGCGCGAGAGATCTCGAGGTCTGCAATCGATCAGTCATGATCACTACGCCTGAACAATAGCGGAACTCACGAATCTTGCGGCCCTTTACCTCGGCACCTTGCAGGGTTTTGCATGGCACCTTGTGCATCATCCACCGTGTGGTATTGCACAAAGCCGTACGCAGACTTGAGTGAGATCTGTGCCAAGGGGCCGTACTGGCGAAAAATGTTGAAGACATCCCGTTTTGAGACCCGTTCGCTAGAAAGGTTGCCTAACAACAGATTAGTAGAAGCCAAAGAACAATTTGATCGGGAGTGGACCGACCGATAAAGATCCTGGAGCCTTCAGGGAATTTATCCCATCTCGCTTCCGCCATGTATTGCGTTCGTCAGCATTAAAGGCCTCCCAGAGGGAGTTGGGATCAGTGGCTTCGTTGGGCGGCTTGTTGAAGTCGGCAGAACTAGGGCGAGGAGGGGCATTGATCGACGTGGGAGCAAGAGCAGGCTGGAAGTGGGCAGCATCGGCAAAATTGCCTGTAGCTCCGGCAGTTGCATAATGAGTGGGATGGTTCGGCACGACGTGCGGCTGGTGAAGCAGATGGATATCATCCGGGTTCGCGAGGACAAGAGAAGCACCGTCTGTCACGGGAGGCTTGGGGGGTAGCGAAGCAGACGTAGATGGAGGCATATCCTGGGTAGGCTCTGGCTGGGTATTGGACAGGGTGGGTTGCTGGACGGAATGTTCATCTGCCTGGGCGGTCATCTCGGCCACGAGGCGGGAGATGTCGATGGCTTGCGCATCGCCGTTCGCGGACTCTGGGTGTCCGTTGGAGATGATGGTATCGGCTGTTGGCTGGGAGGCAGGCTGAGCAGCTAGGGGCTGCCGAGTCGTGGGCGAGTCAACATCGGGAACCATTTGAGCGTTCTGTAAAAGATCGGAAGAAAGGTGATTTGTGTGAGAGTCTGCTGCTTGGGATACATGATGCTGTCCCGCGACGGTGTCGAGCTCATCCTGAACAGGCGAGTCGAAGGACTTGAGGTAGTCATCCTCGACGGCGTCAGGCTGTTCTTGTTCATTCTGCCGTGTGTTGCCTGTTGCATCCCCCTCTTCTCCTTTGTATGCTTCATCGAGGCTGTCAAGCTCGCTATCGTTGTCGTTTATGTTCTGATTGTTGTACGTGTTGGCGAGTGGTGGGGCAGGTTCGGAGACGGAGACGAGGCTCAGGCCAGCGTCTCTGATCTCCTGAACCGATGGCATTTCGGTCATGGCATCAAGCATGTCGGCAGTGTCTTGTAGGGCTGGAAGGACAACAGGCGCAACAGTGTGCACGGGGTTGGGGGATACTGGCGAGAGGTCGGCCGCCGTGGCCTGGATCTCTGGTGTTGCCGAACCTGGCATGGAAAGTGAGCCTCGATGACGCCGCGCGCGAGCACTTGCAAAACCTGCAGAGGCTTGCGCTGTTATGGGAAGTTGGCTGTTGGCAATCGATACGATGCGCACAAGAGGTCAATCCTGCTGCTTTGAGCTGTGGTCTGATCTAGAGCAGAACGGGCTGGAAAGTGATGGGTGGCAAGGTATCAGGGCGGGGTCTGGGTCCTGGGGAAGGCTCTGCAATGGTGGTGGTCGCGGAGCCCAAGGCGAGGCAGGCGAGGCAGGCGAGGCAGGCGAGGGCTGTGATGGGCGCGGCGATATGGCAACGACGGTTCCACAAGGTAGGTGCACGTCGCAAACTGACAACTGGCCGGCGCGCTTGATCAGAAAGCAGCTCAAGGGAGGGCTGCGTCGACGGTGATGGCAGGCAGCTAGCTGTACCTGGCCTGAAGAGGACGCAAAGATATTTCGAAGGAGAGCTCGACCTGAAAGATGTAGGATGGTCGCGTGGTTGAGTGGGCGGGCGGGCGGATGCGGTCTATGTCTGGTCTGAAGGTTGGCCCATGGATCCTGAGCATGAGGGGAAAGCCCGGTAGATGAATTCACGTGTTCCAGTAGACTTTGGGAATCCAGGCTGTGGTGGATCACGAACAGGGACAGAGGTGGAAATGGGAGGAGCGGCAGGAGGGAGAATTGACCCAGAGAGCAAGTGGGATGGATGGATGATGCCAGTCGAAAGTGACGAGCCCCAAGTTCCAACCACTCTCGTCCATCAAAGGTGGAGGAGGTACCGCGTAGGTGCAGAATGAAGAAAAAAGACAAGCACGACTCTGCCGAGGGCTAACCTAAAGGGGAAAGAGGGGGCACTAAGGTTCTCTGGTTGGAGGATGGGGCCGTGCATTTGACAGTGTGCACAGAGCGTCACACACGCGGTACATTCTTTTGCATCCACGTCTCATTGCTGGAACGGCGTAATGGGAGACTGCTGCGTCGCGTCGTTGGTGAAAGGTAAAGGTGCCTCATAATGATCCGTTGATCGGCCCCAAAGCCTCTCCTACCAGCTCAAAGGGGCCCTTTTCCAGTTTTTTTTTTTTTTTTTATCTGCAAAGTGATATTCTCAGGGATGGCTTCTCCAAACATTTTGCGCTTGCCTGCTAGGAGGATTCCTTCCTTCACGATAGGTCCCCTTGTCCAATCAAGGTCTATCAGGTATCAGGCGTTCGACGCCGCGTTCGATCCCGACGAACTGCAGGAGGCGAGGAACTGGCACAAATCATTCGATGCCGCCCGTTTACCCAAAGGGCAAACTACATTCGCTCGGTCCAGCGGCCCCGGAGGGCAGCATGTCAACAAGTACGCACCAGTCCCTCATCACCATGGCCATTATCTCGACAAAGTCTCACCCTCGCTTCTTCCAGAACAGAAACCAAGGCCATCACAGCATGGCCCGTCAAGGATTTATTGGCAGCCTTGCCGAAACTGATGCATCCAGGAATTCGGGCCTCCAAGTATTACACTTCACGGTCGGATTCTCTCTCGTTCCAGGCTCAAACCCACAGACACCGAGATGCAAACACGGACGAAAACTTGGAAAAGCTTGTTGAGGAAGTCCAGCGGATCTATCGCGAATCAGTTCCTGGTGAAACGACGCCGGGAAAGCGAAAGAAGCACGAAGAGGTGTGAGTGTGGACTGGAGACAATGTCAATCGCCCGCTGATGATTTCTTCAGAGCCAAATCATTTGACAGGGCAAGGCTGCGTCAGAAGAAACAGCACAGCTCCAAGAAGCAGTCCCGCCGGGCGATCGAATGATCAGCCAAGACTCTTGGTCGCTGCTGTCCCGTCTCTGCCAGGCTCTTCGGCAGCACTCAGCTCAGAGAGCGTGAGACGGCTGCAGCAGCTGTCAGGATGCCTCGAACAAGACAAGCGATTTTTGGTCGTTGAAATATGGTTCATCGGTCACAAGCTCGTGTGGTGGCGGTCTAGCGGCTTGGACGCGCAGGCCAAGACCCCGCCTGTCGGGTTGACAAGGTGAAAAGCTGCAGCTCTGATGACCACGAGCAGTTGAAGCAGAGATTGGAGCGGGCTCATCGGCAATTGGAAGGGCGGCGCGTTTCTTGATGAACTGTGGCTGGCCAAGCCGTGCCTCGAGATCAGGCACAGGGTCGCGCCATCTTATCAAGATCAATAGCGGCGACAGAGAAACCCGAGGTGATGGATGGGGCATGGCATGGTAAACGGGGTCGGCCTCTAGGACAGGCCAACCTCTGCTCTCATGATTCGGACCAGCCTGCTTCGAGCTGCGGCTGAAAGAGAGTAGACGTCGGAGTTGAAGTTGTTCATGACCAGATCGATCGGGGACGTGGTTCTTTCTTCAGGATCACCAGTGAACCTCAGGTTCAGCTTCGCCAGCCACAGGCGCTAGAGTCTGTGAGCAGCTTGTGGGTCACCCGAAGCTTTGTCCCTTTTATCACCAGATCCTCCTCCTCGGGGTTGGCTACGGCGCCTAATTCTTTCTCCTTTCTTACTGTATGAAAACCATACCACTCTTACCAGAGATGAGGCATTGATCAGGTGCCAGATATCATCGATCTAATACATCGCGTCACCATTAATTACTAAGTGCGGCCTTGGGTCCCAAGTCTGATGAGCCGTCCAGAAACTGACATGGTTGTCGAGACCCTGAAGCTGATAGGCGCGACCGCCGATCCCTGCTCACCTGTTCTTACCAAATAGCAGTTGGCGCACCCCGCACCTGGGACTTACTTGGTACACTACTTGGTCTTGGGTCAAGACGGGGACCTCGACCACCAAGACATAAGCATCTGCACTGCGAATTTCCTCCGATACCAATCCTCGAGTCGCAGACCCTGGATACCCAACACTCTCGGCTTTTCGCTACGAGCAACTGTCATCTCTGTCGAGCAGTTACCTTTCCTCTTGATTTCCTATCGTCCTTGCTTGCGCGATATACCCTGTCCGCTCTCTGTGCTTTCTGCCCCACCGAGTCCGCCACCGCTGCTTGGGCACCTCCCCCTCCCCCCACGCCGACAAACCTGCGATTGATTCAACGTCAGATTGACTCAACGTCGCCCTACAAGACGGCACGGAAATCCGCACGCCGCCTTCCTAGAACAACATCGATTGTCGCCAATTTTCGCGCTGGACATCTCGACACCAGCATAACAACCCCACATGGCGACAGCGATGAGCGCCAACGGGAACAGTCGCAGTGCTGATGCTGCCCGTCAGCAGGCCCAGATCCAGCCGTGTCGGTACAAAGTGGGCAAGACCCTCGGTGCAGGATCATACTCTGTCGTCAAAGAGTGTGTCCACATAGATACCGGGCGCTACTATGCTGCCAAAGTCATTAACAAGCGGCTGATGGCCGGCCGCGAGCACATGGTACATTCTGCTTCCCGCCTGTTCCTTATTTTGCGCCGAGTCGCGAGGAAGCGTGCGTCACTCAGTTATCCAGTTGACTGACAGCACCTCGGTTCGTTTAGGTTCGAAAAGAAAAGCAGTCCTGGAGAAAAGGGGCAATGGGCCACAGAACATTCTTGACTCTCGTCGACTACTTCGAGACGATGAAC